CCTAAGAACCTTAGAAGCTGAACTAACTAGCAGCAGCTATGTGAGCTCAGGTTTAGAGGTGAATATCGCGAGGTGAAGGGTGATAGAAATGAGTAATGACGCTGGTGACTCCGAACTTATAGGGTGAAGGCGGAGCCTGTCACCCGACGTTCCACGTCACCACGTCACCGGTCTAAAGACGTGATTAAAGGTGGCTTCAGCCAGGCGCGCGAGGGCGCACGTGTCCTATTTATAACTGTGTGTTGAACTGAGTGAAATGACCGAAAAGGAACTGCACATATTTATTTATCTTTATTATCAAAGGTTGATAAAACCTGATAACTTATTTCTCATCAGAGGTTGATCTCCGTATTAAACTCTGACATGAACGGCAGCGATATGCATTCCTGAAAGAAACATCAGGTCTTTCATATTTTGAGCAGTGGTTGGTGTATTTTCCTCTTGTATATTTTGGTCRTCCTCAGGAGTCCTCCTCTGAGGCCCGTTCTCAGTGATGCTCCAGGTGTTCCTCATGGATGCTGTCCTCAGGGCCCTCCTCCCTCTGAAGTGATGCATGAGGTCAGTGTGACCTGCCCTGGTCCAGCAGGTCCAGGAGCAGTCACAGGGGAGGTGAGGAGAACCATCAGCCTGCCTGAGGAGTGCAGTAAGCTTCACGCTGAACCAGCAGGATGATTTACTCCTCAGGTTCAAAGATTTGAATCACTTCTCTTTGACAGGAAATGTCTTCATCACATATTCAGTGGATGCAGCGAAAGAAATCATTCCMTTTGTCAGGTTTCTGACCGGTCAGGGATTCAACCCAGCAGTAAGTACCATCAGGTCCCAATAATTTGACACACTGCACAAACACTCAGCGAGCCTCTCCACAGATCGACATGTTTGACAGTCCCCTCAGAAGAATGGGAATCACGAAATGGATGGACCGCTACCTGAACGATGTAAGACTAAGTCCTGAGTTCAAGCTGCTTGGTCACAGTCATAAAGCTGACAGAGTGATGYCATTTGACAGAAATCGGTGCTGATCATTGTGGTCATCAGCCCCAAATACAAGGAGGACGTGGATGGAGTTGGAGACGATGAGCACGGCCTGCACACCAAATACATCCACAACCAGGTGAGTGTGTGGACTCACCTGCAGAGGCAGTAGATCTGTCTACAGCTCCTCACCCTGTCAGCTGACTGCTCAGGGTTGTGTCTCACTGGGCMTCTCCATTTACCTAAATCATGTAAACAGAGAGCTCCAGTGGTAGAAAATGACTAAGCGTTGTGTTGTTTACTCCTGTGACAACTAAGGAAGTAAACAGTAAACAGATTCATAGTTTCTACATCTTTCCATCAGCAGCGAGAGGAAACAGTGAGAAAATATCTGCAGGATTTAGACCCTTCTTTTAGACAGAACTATGGTCCACCCATGGAGGTCTAAATAACAACTAGAGTGAGTTTAAACCACGTGACCATGTGAACTACTGTAGAAGCTACAACGTTAATCAGACTCTGGATTTACCATAAATGTACTGAGCAGAACTGAAGCTAATATTTTCAAATTAAATAAGCTCATAAGGTTGATGTAATCACTGTTAATTATTGAACCGGTTAGCAGATAAGAGCTTCTGTAGCATGATGCTATACAGAGTGTAGCACTGCTGAATCATGCTTCAATTTAACACAAATTATTAAATATTGCAGTTGGTTTTACCTCAGTGTAAAATAATATTGTCTATTTAACTATTTTTAGGTTTCTGTTGGATAAACCTGACCTGCTAGGAAGATGGTTAAGCTAATGGTTTCATCCTATAACCAGGTATAGAGTGAGTCAATGGTGGGCACAGACCGCTAAAGTGCAAATCCGCTAATTGCGGACCTAAAGATTTCGTTTGCGCTTTAGCGGTCTTAATAATTTTTATCATTTATAAGTGGATTTGCACTTTCTAAAATTAAAAAGCAGTACCACTAATAACAAATTATCTACCAGTCATCATTATGTTGAACAGCAGAAGGTATGACTGTCAATGAATCACAACATGTGATCTATCCAACAGCACCCC